TCCAGCTCCAACTCCAGAGACAAATCCATAAAAGGTGAATGTGAAACGGCAAAATCTAAAAAGGCACCAACTATTGTGACCAGTAGATGAAAGTGTTAATCTGCTCCTTTGATAATGACGCGTGTCATTTCCAAATGTGAATACACAAACAGAATGGTGCGCTTTTAATGTGCTTAAGACGTTTTAAAAACCAAAACGGAGCCGGCACAGTTGGACATATAAAAACTCCCCCTTGCCAAAGGGAAAGCCGTGGGATTAAAACCGGAGGGCGGCCGACAGCAGCTCCCTGAGGAATGCCAAGAATAAACGTTCTTCAAACAGGAAGATATGCAGAGGTTTTTGAAGCACAGACATGATGTACAGAATTAACTTCACACCCACCATGAATGAATTCTCTATCCTAATTTCAGTTCTAAACAATTACAAAAAAATTCTACCAAGAAAGAAAACATTATTACAGCATTTCATCACATTCTACTCCTGTATCATCATCTTACTTAATCTACCCTCTAAAGGTAAAATTCATGAGTACCTTTGTGGAATTTCAAAAACCAGAAAGGGAGCAAAACACACTGGCAACCTTTACAAAATGCAACACCATTGTTTTGAATTAACATTAATTACATTTAATTAACATTTGATCCATGCTGGCTGTTTAGTGAGGAAGCAACAATGACAACATTAGCAGAGTGTTATATCAGAAACAAAAAAAAAAGACTCATAATGTTAACCTAACTCTCTGATAACATTGTTAGCGATGCTTCAACACTGTGCTAACTATGGCTGATGAAGAGCTATAGTGTATCATAATTTAGTATCCCAAAGCAGACACTTGTTAATTCACCTTCATAATGAATGTGGATGGACACATAGTATTTAAAACATTTGTCGTTGTTTGAATGTGGCATCTTAAATGTGGCAGGTCCTACAACCGTCACTTAAAAATCACAACAGAGAGCACAAACGGTGCTGCGACCCAGAAGAGATTCAGCTGCCTAAACAACCAGGAAGCACCAAACCGTGGGTTTGTGGCATAAACCCCATTGGGTTTTCTTTCAAGCATCAAAAAACTACCACTGACTTCTTTTTGGACCGCCAGGCACTCGTAGCAGCTCTTCTCTGCTTTTATAGCAGCACTGCCTTTTTGTGTTAAAGGCACACTTGGTAGTTTTGGTTTGCTTTTGGCACCCTCTAGTGTCTATTTAGTGAAATCAAAAGGTAAACTCATCTCCTCCCTGTGCGTTTCTCTTTTTAACACCTTAATCTAACTGCTAAAAGGTCTCCCCAGCCTTCCTTAGTGTCTACAGGAGTGATTCATCCCTGATGAAACAAATCAGATGTGTTCACGACTTAAAACACATAGGAAACAAACTGGAAGCAGACTGCAGCTCCAGTCATGTCAGTCCAACAGGTGTCGGCCTGCCATTCGGAAGTTGCAAGTGCGGTATTCTGGCTACAGAGAATGATAGGGGTCTGAGTGACATTTCATTGCCCTATAGTGTCATTTTAGCACATAGTGGCTCAAAATGAAAATGACTACAAAAGGTACATTGTATGCCTTTAAATAGATTATCTGGTGTTTAAACTTGACATTAAGTTTAGTTCTGGGACTCTTCATGACTCTAGAAGGTAATGAATGTAATTATGGGCTCATCATTTATCCACTCACATATTTGAATCACCTCTAAACAGCTCAAATCCCCCATCTGTTGACAAAACTTATTGTTTGAAGTCTCCTTAAAATGCGACCTCTGGATATTTTAGGCTGTGCAGAATCTAAAAACAAATCAGTACAGGGTTTTTCCAACTCAGTAAAATAATAACTATGACTTTCTCTATAATCGCGCAGCACTACACCCAACTGAATTTCGTTATACTATGAAAATTGAAAACCTTTGAGAACAGGTGTGATTGCAGAGTTTGGATCGTCCAGCATAAACACAAACAAGGTCTACAAACGCTGCAGGTCTGGTGATGGCAGAGTGGCCATGGCAGCTGTCTGCTCCAATACATGTTACATGTTAGATGCACACGCACGCACACGCGCGCACACACACACACGCACACGCACACGAACACACACACACACACACACACACACACACACACACACACACACACACACACACACACACACACAGGATCACTCCACAGAAACAATTGTGTAAATAAACACAGAAGCGAGCTGCATTCCATTCAGGAAAACCAGTTCCCAGTGCCACAGAAAACCCAACATGCACAGCTGCAGAAATGGAATGCGGCCCTCATCAATACAACTGTGCTTTCCCTCCTTCTCCTAAAGATTTAATTTATTGTGAAAAGGTGATGAGCACATAAACCAATCCCCGAAAGCCTTGGTTTTTCTAATCCCTGATGAGGAGAATCACAGAAACACAAACATAGAGAGGTTGTCTTTCCTGGTTAAGAGCTGTGATAGAAACACTGAACCACATGGGAAATGCACGGATTCTAAAACCGGAACGTCTGCTCTAAAAAAAGCACATATTTCACAATCTGAGTTGAGAACGAGAAGCGTGCAGCCATGTGAGTTTCAGTCTGAAGCTTCCTGCCAACAACATGACTCGCCGTGGTCTTCAGGCTGACTCAGACCTGACTCTGCAGGGGGTCTGAACTGGGTCGTCTGGGAACAGGGGCCTTGAGGGAGAGCAGAGGCTAATGCTTAACCCACAACCTGATCAGATAGTTTTTTATGTCTCATCCTCAGAAAGAATTTAGTCAGTCAAATGAATCAACTTGATTCGGAAAAGGGTAGAATGCCTTCTCCGGGTCAGGGATGAGGTCCTGCCCCAAGTGGAGGAGTTTAAGTATCTCGGGGTCTTGTTCACGAGTGAGGGAAAACTGGAGCATGAGATCGATAGGCGGATTGGTGCTGCATCTGCAGTGATGTGGGCGTTGTACCGATCTGTCGTGGTGAAGAGAGAGCTGAGTCAGAATGAAAGCTCTTGATTTACCGGTCGATCTACGTTCCTACCCTCACCTATGGTCATGAGCTTTGGGTAGTGACCGAAAGAACGAGATCGAGGACACAAGCGGCCGAAATGAGTTTTCTCCGAAGAGTGGCTGGGCTCTCCCTTAGAGATAGGGTGAGAAGCTCATTCATCCGGGAGGGGCTCAGAGTAGACCCGCTGCTCCTCCACATCGAGAGGAGCCAGTTGAGGTGGCTCGGGCATCTCATCAGGATGCCTCCTGGACGCCTCCCTGGTGAGGTTTTCCGGGCACGTCCAACCGGGAGGAGACCTAAAAGGGAGACGCAGGACACGTTGGAGGGACTATGTCTCTCACCTGGCCAGGGAACGCCTTGGGGTTCCCCTGGAAGAGCTGGTCCAAGTGGCTGGGGGGAGGGAAGTCTGGGCCTCTCGCCTTAGGCTACTGCCCCTGTGACCCAACTACAGATGAGCGGATGAAAATGGATGGATGATGGAAGACGTAACAATCAACAGAAAGGATCTAAGTTAGTATATTCTTCTAAGCGATGATTCTTTTTCAGATTTTGAGTAAACAATGACTGGTTCAAACCCCTGAAAATGTTCCAATTACACCAAAATTTGGCGATAATTAGTAGTTCCAATAAATATTTCATTAATTCAGCCACACAAAGGCTGAAATGGTCACACACGCTAACATTAGATTGTAAAATCTGAATTCCACACATAAATAAAGGAAACCCTGCAGATTCAAATAAAGGTTTAAGGTTGTAGAGCACCAAGTCTTCGTGTTTTATTCTCATCCAGCAGTGAGTAGCGGAGCTCGTGACAGCTCTATTTTAAAGTGAGTCTTTAATTTTTTAGCACCTTTTCTGGAGCGTGAACCACATTCAGCATCAGAAACAGGAATATGAACCAGGTTTTGGTCCAGGTGCCTTTTAGAGAGGGCACCAGGAGCTGTCATCACCTCGGCTGAGCACTTGCTCCTTGGGGTGTCTGAACCCTCTCCCTCCCTCGTGGTGAGGAGACGACTCTAAAAATAACCTCAGGTTGTTTCTGGGCAGCAGCGGCTGATAAAGCATCATATTCCTCCTTTATGGCTAAATGGGTCCAGTTACATGAATTAGGTCTTGTTTAACAAAGAGACAAAACCAGTTGTGAGATCTTCACCAACGAAAAGGAGACTCATGCAGACGGAAATGTTTCTTTTCAACTGGATTCTGCTTAAAGAAGAATTAGGTTGTTGTTTTTTTTGAGTCTGAAATGAAACTAAAGAACGAGAGCCAATGTTGACCTCTGACGGTCAAGGAGGAAAAGGTCACACAGACACAGCCAAGTCCTCCCAAGCGCTGCTGTGACACCCTGGGACCCGCGAGGGACCTGTCGGAGACTAGGAGCCCGTCTCGGAAGAACAGCAGCACCCTAATCCTGTTGGTTATTAACAAAGCACACCGGCAGGCAGCAGAGGGACTGAGGACATCTCCACAGATATCAGACAGCCTGAGCGTGCCAAGGTTTGATTTCATTATTTTATATTTTCTTTTTTATGACAGCACCGTCTGGTTTTTGAGGAAGCCTATTACTGTCCTCCCACACACCCCCATCAGTAAGTAGCAGGCGCACCACGACCTCAGTAACCCCCCCACACACACTCACACACACTTCGCATCCATTTCATTTGATGCTGCTGGAGCGCTACTGCCCCCATGTGGCTCCTACATCTACAGGAGCCACCAGTATCTTGCACCTGCTCCATCCCAGAAGGCCTAGAGTTCCCACTGACCCAGTTCCTGGGAGGATTTCACATCGCTGCAGCACTAAAGTGTAGGTGAGATGTTTGATGTTGCTCCTCCTTGTTTTTCTGCTCTCAGCTACTTTTGGCTTAATTCTCATTTCTACTGAAAACCTTCAAAAAATTTATTAAACCTTAAATTTCCTCTAAATGTTTTTTTCCCAAGTTTGTGTGAAAATTTGCCGTTTCAACTAGTTAAGAATAAAATGTATGAGGTTAACAATAGTGTGTGCGTGCGTGAGTAAAAAAAAAGATGAGAGAAGTACAATTTCAAAATGTCCTTTATTCATCGGAACACCATCAAAGAAAAGTTTTATTTTAAGGCTTTTCTCCACAGAAAAAGACGGAATACTGGGAATTATTTGGCATGAAAATCACAAAGAAGCAGCGGCTGCCGCACGTTTCTGCTGTTGGCAGTTTGAGTATGAAAATATTGGAATGCAGCCGTGTTAAAGAAGGCGGGTGTCTCCGCGGGGGTGCAGCAGCACAGTGAAAAGGGTCTTTAAGACGCGTAGAAAAGAGGCACTTCTTCATCACGAGTCGCGGCCAAATAAAACTAAATTATCAGATTATTACAGAGCTGCCAGCCTCACACACAGATTAATCCTTAATTAGGAAATTTAGCTAAATAATTTAAAGTTTACAGTTTTTTTTCTTGGAAAGAGAGAATTATAAATGTCGTTTAAAAACTGAAATAAAGAAATGAGTCTTAGATGCTAATTTTGTTTAAATGATCCTTTATCGCCGTGAAAAAAAAAACACATTTGTTAGCGAGTTCGTTTGTGATGGTTCCTCTTTGTTTTTGGGCTAAATTAAATACTGTAAAGAACGTATTACCAATTGGTTCAGTTAATTCAATCCCTGATATTAGGATTTACCGTTGCTGTCATTTAACAGAAACATGATTAATTTAAATGAGAAACGGGTTTAATGAAGAGTTGGAGGACTGATAATGAGCTCCGTCTCTTTAACGGATAAATACAAGTCAGATGCAGAAGAGATGTTGGTTTAAAACACAGAAAAGGCCAGATAAAGTTTGGTTTTGAACAAAACAAAACAAAACCTGTTGAGAAAAAAACTTTTCTGTCGTCTGAGAATCTGTACGTGAAACATTAGTGCTGCTAACTTAAATAAAAAGCTGTTTTTATAGATTTCACTGACATTTCTACACTTTTCAGGTTAATTAAATAACTTAGAAAGATGTACATTTACATAGGAAATAACGTCCTGCAGCGCCCGACAGCAATTAGTGCACACAGGTAAAGGTGCGTTAGATTTCTTCACCCTGAGGAGTGATCCATCATCTTGGATGATTTTTTTTCTCAGTTCTGTGTATTTTCTGGACATTTTGTCCATCTTATAAATAAACAGGTAGAAGGAGATCTGAATACTTCCTTCAGGACTTTTGGAGAAATAAAACACACCAAGTTTGAAGCCAAGTGCATCAGTTTTCTTTAGACTCTCCTCCGTCTGAGTCAGGTCGCGTTTGGTCCCTGTTAGCGTCTGGGTGGGTGGTGTCAGGTGGGGTTTCAGAGGCGGATGCCTGCTTGTCATTATTCTGGTTTCCGTGCAACGCCACGACTGCCTCATACGAAGCTGGCGCCTGATCATTAGGAGCCTAGCAACACACAGAACAAAGAAAAACGAGGTTATCCTGAAGGCGGATTAAAGGTTAGAACATAATCCGGCATTAAAAAAAATAAACTAACTTCCAACTAGCAGGACGGTTCTAGTAACTATCATCCTCTCTACCTACAGAGATTTTAAAAACAGATAAACTTCCCTGCTCTGGACTTCAGACCTCAGCACTGCTTCCTCTTTCGTCTGTCCTGGTAAACTGTCCAGTTCAGAGACAAACGGCCATGTTCTGCTCCCTAAATGTGGCCAGATGGAGATGAGAAGCTACTTCTAACACAATCCTGGCTTTAAAAGGGATGTGTCACCTCCTTCTAAACAAGTTCTATGATACTAAACATGTTCATGAATTTCTTTGTACAGAGTCCTTCTCACATAAAGCTATTTCTGCAGTTTGATTCGTGACATTTTTTGTACCGTTTCCGGGCTCTGCCACTTTATGAAAACAAGCTGGAGCTGGCCACAACCACCCGTCTCCTGAGAGGCTGTTATTGACCCTTTGCACGTGACGTCACGCCACTCATGGGACCGCCCCGTTCGCCATGATGGACGGCAAAAAGACCGTTTACACACGTTGAAACTCCGGTGAAGCTAGTCAAAACAAGCCAGTTTGTAGCCTTTTATTTAGTTGGTTTCACAGTAAAATGGTAACAACGTGCTACGTGGCTGGCTGCACTAACAGACAAGGATGTAAAGTCACCTCGTTGTTGTTTTTTTTTTTTCAAATAACGTTGATCGAGACTGAGGACGGAGATGAACAGCAGCGACCAATCAAACGGACTAGCAGCCCTCAGGTTTACAGCGAACGTGTTTTTACTGGGTAAGATTAACGTTTATTTCATGACGAAGACCGGGACAAATGTGATGCGTTCTTCTGATGGATGGATATTCCACCATAGAGGACGCACGGTACCGTCCACTGTAGGGAAATGCGAGATAATTAGTTACAATATTGCTCCAATGTATGATTACGTGCGTTAAAATCATGTTATTTAGTATGAGCGTCGCCGTTAAGAGAATCTTGTCTCATCCCAGTGTGAGAGCAGCAGCTGAACACGCGGTGACACCACCAGCAACAAAAACTAGTAGGGATCCGGGCATTTTTTTTTTTAAATCAGCTTCGGTGTAAAGTGAAACGCTGTTTATAACATAATGTTGTAAATCCTGTCGGGTGAATTTAGGCAAAGTAGGCAGCATGTTTACATTGGTGAACAGCTGCAGAGAGAACTTAAGCTGACGTTCGTAAGCTAGATAATAACACTTAACTTTTGTAAATAGCGCTCTCTATGAGCCCTATCTAGGTGCGCTACTTCATCTGATAACTGAACATGGGCTTGAACTAGTAGAGGGAATGCTAAAGATCGCAAAAACAATTTCAGGCTCTACTTTTCCCTTTGTTTAGTACTTGTGTCGTTCAATGTTTACATGCTTTTGCTGTCCAGTATGGCGGACCCACGTGATTAGGTGACGTAGGTGCAAAGGGTCAATAGGAAGCCAAAGTCACACCCATCTACTTCTGGACCATGGGTCCCTGGAAGAACGAAAAAATGAACGCAAGTCAATGAGGCTAAAAGCGCTATTTTCTAATCATGCCATGGATTTCACATGTGATGTCCGTGAATTTCAACGATGCAGTTTGCTACCAAGAATGTGCTTATTTTCGAACGGGGAGAACGATATTTTAAGTTTTGTGTGAAAATAAGGCCAAGACTACAAATGCACTTCACGAAAGTGACGTCATCGAACCAGACGCAGAGAAAACTACCAAGAAAGTACTCATTTTCAAACGGGGAGAGGAGATTATGTGGTGACGATATGCAAGTTGCCGACTTCCGATTTGTAGTCATGCTAATTACAAACTTTTAAAAGCTGATAAATCTCAAAGTACGTGACTGGTATGGTCGAAACACCCATCAATTATTTTCATTCAAACTGAAGTACAGCATATGTGCGATCCAGGGTCAAAGGCAAAAATAACTCTTAACCCCGCTGACTTGCATTCATTATTTTGTTCTTCCAGGGACCCATGAGCCGACCGGAAAGGGAGATTTAGGCTCTCTATAAGCTGAGAAGCCTCGATGTCCAGGGGGGAATTAGAGCCACTGTTCCTTCAGCGTTGACAGGTGGGGGGTGTTCTATGTAGGGATGTTTCCATCCAATCATGTTATTTTCTTTTTTTTTGTGTGTGTCCTGTCTGGCTGTGAAGCAAACAGAATTAATGTCTGAATGCTGGTGACAAGCCTTACAGATTTATTCTCAGGTGGAGCATCAAAGCTTCTGCTTTTAATGTCACGCCTGATACTTAAAACTTTATTGTTATTGTTTTTGAATGCTTTATAATTCTGACCAGACACGGAGACAGAGGTGAAAGAGAAAGGAAAAGACAAAAGGTGGGGGGGTCCACAAAAGTAAACAATACTGAACAAGAATCTGCTTCTAGACCTGCAGAAAGAGAAGAAAAAAAAAGCGAACAAAAAATAAATAAAAAATAAAAGGACACAACAACAATGCAACAAGATCAAGCTATCACTGCGTCAACTTGATGAAGAAATATATAATCAACATCGTTTCACTGAAGAATCACGATAATAAATCACAGTGCATTAAGTGCCAACCACAGCCTTAAGACCCGTGTTGAATGTGCCCAAGCCCATACTTATGAGAGCACCATGTGAGCACCTGTGTGTGTACATGCGCTTGTATATGTAAGGTTTCTCTATAGGAGTGTCCAATAGAGAGTGTGAGGGGCCACAGATTCACCCCCTAAAGATGTGTAGGAGACGGAGGGAGCTCCAAGTCCCAGAGATCCAGGAGTTGCCCCAGAGCACAGGAACTCCAGGGAGACTGCGACCAGAAAGGCCCCCGCCCCCCTCGAGAGGCGCAGAGGACGTCCCCCGGGGGCTACAACCAGCAGCCGGCAGAGTCCCGGGAGATATCGGCGGCAAGCCCACAGGCCCGCCCGCAGCCTCCCACCCCCTAGCCGGCCAAGCCCGGGACCCAGCGACCTGGGACCCAGGGGCGACCACCCCCGCCTGGGACCCAGCAGAGCCCAATCATGTTGTTTTCAAAAGATCTGAATCAGGTGAAAATGTCTGAATTTAACATTATAAAACAACAAGCAGGACACTGCATATTCATCCTGAGATAAAAATGTTCTAATTGAATAACAATGACTTAGTTTTAATTTGATCAAGTTCCTCTATATGAATTTTTTTTTATGGACGACACTTTAACCTATGGCAAGCAGGGAATTCAGACAGCATAACCTGTACCGGTAGGTGATGGCTAGCAGGCTAATGCAGAGCTAACTCGCCTCATGGAACAAAAAATGACTGGCATATTTAAAGCCAGACTGTGAATGGCCTGTATTTGATATAGCGCCTTCTAGAGTCCTAGAACCCCTCAAGGTGCTTTACAACACAATCAGTCATTCACCCATTCACACACACATTCACACACTGGTGGGGATGAGCTACACTGTAGCCACAGCTGCCCTGGGGCGCACTGACAAAGGCGAGGCTGCCGAGCACTGGCGCCACCGGTCCCTCCGACCACCACCAGCAGGCAACGTGGGTCAAGTGTCTTGCCCAAGGACACAACGACAGCGACAGACTGAGCGGGGCTCAAACCAGCAACCTTCAGATTACGGGGCGAGCACTTAACTCCTGTGCCACCGTCGCCCCTGAATGCAGTGCAAGAGTCACTTGTAATGTGTGCATACTTGGCATTTCATTTGGTGGAAACGACAGAGCTGCACTGACCACTAACCTGACGCGTCACCTTAAAAATAAACGTCTTTGTCTTTTGGCGTCTCACGTAAGAGGCTGCCACTGCAAATCACCTGTCTGCATTTAGTTCTAGTCTGCTAGCTTAAAAACAAACACCCTGCTTATTACTCACAGTTCAGAGCAGCAACTTGGACAAAAACACAGCACCAGCCAACACAAAGGTATGCTAAAAACAAAGGAATCGTCATAGGACAGCAGAGAAAGCAGTATTCATCACACTAAATGACCATCTGCGGTTGTGTTTCATTTGCAGCAAATACCACTCTAGACCATACAATTGAAAAAAAGTCTAATTCAACTCCTTTTTAGTGTTTAGTTCATTTCACACCAAATAGTTGCGATGCCATTTTCCACTCTTTCCACCGAGCTGAACTAAAAATACTAATTTATTTTGAACTAAATATCCAATTCAACTGGATTTTTTTCATTTACACAAAGAGTCATCTGAGTGTGTTATACAAGAAAAGCTAATAGGCCAATTCAAATTAATTCTAGTGAAACTACAATTACCTTGGGTTGCTATGGAGAAAATCACATGCACCTAATTCATGTGAAATTTTCATTGATTCAATTCTATTGAAATATATTCTATTTATGACTACAATTTTAAGTGTGTCATAAAGAAACAGATCTGATTCAAATCGTCTACCAGTGCTCCCGTGCAATTCAATTCAGTTCCAACCCATTCAATTAAATGTACAAATGAGTTCTTTATGGAAAAGCAAACTGGGAAAATTCAAACCCAATTTGATGCAATCCAATTCATTACAGTTTATTCCATTACAGTAAAATACATTCCATCCAATCAAATGCATACCAGTACATTCTCATTACAACTTCATTCATTACAGTCCTTCACATGCAAATACAGTCCAATTCAATCCAATTGTGATACAATTTGGTACAGTCAGTTTCTGTTTAACATACTTATGTAACTGTTGTTCTTAAAGTGCAAGACACCCCCAAATTAACTTTTTTTTTGCTGATAAACTATATAAATAAGTGTCTAATCGTGCTGTAGACACGTGTAGTCAATAATTTGGCACTTTAGTGCATCTTAGTTAAAATTTAAATATTCTGCCTAAAACTGTCAGTGCTGCGCCCTCTTCAGGTAAAAACTCCACACTACATTTTAATTTAAATCTGTCACTGCTATTGGCTAAGAGGTATCCTATGACATTAGCTGGTACCATATGCTGTTGTGAGCCTGTTTGTGTGTATTTGTTAGAAGCTCCGCCCTCTCGATCTGCCAGGCAACAGCATTTGTTGCATTTTTCAAACAGGAAATGGGAGCGCAGCAATATTCTGGTAGGGGGTGACTTGCTCTTTAAGGCTCATTGGCAAGGGGGAAGTACAGAGATAGTTTATTTTAAATATCCGAGTTGCAAAGTTGACCTGTTTCTATTTAGATTTCAACAAACATAAAAAAGAATTTTCTGTTTCCATGTAGTTTTATTTTAGTGTTATTAAAAATCTATTTTTAAAAATGTATATGTAAAACATTTAGCATGAAACCTAGCTTTTAAATCATAGTACATAAATATAGGTTTAGTTCAGTGGGAAGAGCAGTGGTTTATGGTTTACACATCTATAAGCTGTGTTAGAATAGATCAAATAAAATAAAGCATCTATAAATATTCATACTGGTCCTGAGATCCAAAATACAACAAAATAAGAAAACAGCAACATGAAGACAAACAAAATGACAAAAGTAGCCATTTAAGAAAAAATATTTTACAAAAGCAGAAAAAAAGTTGGCACAAAAACATAAAAACTCAACATAAAACAAAAAGATTATCTTATCTTCTGTTATCACATTATTATTATATTTTGGTAAATAAATAAGTATTTTGTTGCTTATTTATTGTTTTGTGAGATATATTTTCCCAAAAGTCTGGCTTAACGTAAACCTTGTTTTATTTTGTTAAATGTTTAGGATGAATTTACTTTGACTGTCAAACCCAATGCTTTTCTTAGTGTAGGGTTTCAGTTTTTTTTTTCCTGTTTATGTTTTGTTTGTACTTTTGAAAATGTTGGTCTTCAGATTTTTTTAAAACAGCTGTTAGGTGCTTCATTTATTTTCTTTCTCAGTTTTATTTTGACGTAATTTTTTACTTTTGTGTGTATAAAATGAGTTTTCGGTCATTAGTACTGTTTGTGCTCTATTTGGTTGTATTTTGGACCACGGTGACATCAGAAACCAGCTGACTGCTGCAGAGTTTCCCTCTCACACAAGGAATTTACGACTTGAGGTTTAAAAATGTTTCACTGAACCAAAAGTAGTTGTCCATAGGGGCAAATACCTGTATACCTGAGGTGTGACGCAGTTTTTACTTAATCGGGTGGCAATCTAAAAATATGATCATCCGACTGATCAGCACGCACACAAAAAAGGCAGCCAAGGGGCGGCTCCAGCAGTGACATCACCAGGAAGCAGCTCATGCAGGCGTGCAGCTCGACAAGCCGTCAGCAGACGGGCGTGGGAAGCTTTCAGGCACACTAGCAGGTGTAAACATGCACGGACACACCCACAAGCCAAGCACACAGGTAGAGATTAGTCATCATCACACACACCGCCCACCACCACCCTGAACACACACACACACACACAAACATGGTGGTTTTCCATTAACCTTCACACGCTACTTATCTCACCTTTCTTCAGTGTGAGCAGGCGGTTGATGAAAAGAGGAAGCATCTGATTAGTGAAAGTTAGACCATGAAGAACAAACATCAGACTCCTGGAGACAGATGAAAACCACGGAAACACTAAAACAAAATACCCAGGCACAAACGTCCCTCAACATTTTGAAGATTTATAATAAAATTTTCTCAAACACTTGGACGAAATTTCTAAAATAAACACATAAAAAATCTATAGTTTCAGACAAACAAAAAATGAGACATTTCATTCCAGAAAAAAAGGAACTAGCTTAGATATTATCATCGTTGTCTTCCTCCGCTTATCCGGGTCACGGGGGCAGCATCCCAACTAGGGAGCTCCAGACCGTCCTCTCCCCGGCCACCTCCACCAGCTCCTCCGGCAGGACCCCAAGGCGTTCCCGGACCAGATTGGAGATGTAACCTCTCCAACGTGTCCTGAGTCGACCCGGGGACCTCCTGCCGGCAGGACTTGCCCGAAACACTTCCCCAGGGAGGCGTCCAGGAGGCATCCTGACCAGATGCCCAAACCACCTCAACTGACTCCTTTCAATCCGGAGGAGCAGCAGTTCTACTCCGAGTCCCTCCCGAGTGTCTGAGCTCCTCACCCTGTCTCTAAGGCTGAGCCCGGCCACCCTACGGAGGAAACTCATTTCGGCCGCTTGTATCCGCGATCTCGTTCTTTCAGTCATCACCCAAAGCTCAGGACCATAGGTGAGGATTGGGACGTAGATCGACCGGTAAATTGAGAGCCTGGCTTTCTGGCTCAGCTCCCTCTTCACCACGACAGATTGGCTCAGCGTCCGCATCACTGCAGACGCCGAACCAATCCGCCTGTCGATCTCCCGATTCCTCCTACCCTCACTCGTGAACAAGACCCCGAGATACTTAAACTCCTCCACTTGAGGTAGGACCTCTCCCCCGACCCGGAGTTGGCAAGCCACCCTTTCCCGGTCAAGAACATCTGAGACTTAGATATTATTATTATTATCTGTTTGATTGTTTTTCGGTGATGCTTTAAGATTTAACAGAAACAGCGAATGTGTAAAAAAAAAAAAAAAGGAGAAAGCGAGGAACCAAGTAAATAATAACTTATGTCATCATGTATAGTGAGCTTCATCACTAGAGCCAGTAGTGCATTTAGGGTTCAGGAGCTCTAGAACAAGTCCCCGTTTCAGATCCTTTAAGGGACATTAATGAATGAAATTCCACAGTAAAGCTAAAGCCAGCCTGTTTACTTTTTACAGATTTAAACTGTGATTGTAAATTTATAATCTTATAGAGGGAAGTCAGGTGAGTTTCTTTAAACCACTTCTGGTTTCTCAGAACATCAGAGGAATAATTCCTGGGAGAAACGAGGTTTGAACTGTAAACACTGACACATCACGACTACATGTTGCTTTAACGGAGGGTGCTGTAGTGCTTTATTATGCTGGACGGATCCTTTATTACTTGTTTATTACCATTTTATCTCCTTTGTTCTCCTCTTGTTCTAAAACCTCCTGACTGACAGAAACTACACTCCCGCCCGAGAGAGAATGGCTGCCTCGGCTGAACAATTATCGACTGCAGCAGTCATTTATTCATTTATTTACAAATGGATGAATAAATCACCAGGTAAAGCTGTACATGTAAATCATCTGACTGCACAATGCGGCCCAGAGGAATACTATTACGACAGACGTGTTTAAACGCCACCCTGACTACCCGTTGCTACGGTCTGTTGTGTTTCTCTGCTTGAAGACCAACTGGTGTGTTTGTTGTTTTCTGGGGGAAGTTTGATAGAGAACACACTCTCTCTGTGAGCTGAGGAGGAACCCTGGTGTCTGACTGATGTGCTGAACACTGTGTTTGTGTTCACCTGCAGCTGCTGACTCTCTGCAGGAAGATCCTTCTTCATCTTCATCATCTCTCTGATCTGGACAACGGCGAAGGCGATGGAGACCCAGGGGGCGCCGGCCAGGACCCAGGCCGGCCTCGTCACATCCTCCTGGTCCTCTTGGTGCTTGGTCTTCCTGACCAGTAAGACGGCAGCCGGATGAGGCGGGGTTGGGCTATCGAGAGCGCCGTGGCTCTGGACAAGGTCGATGGTGGCGATGGGAACCGGGCTTGAAGGAACTGGGATGTTCTCCGCTAAGATCTGATCCTCTGTGAAACAGTAGGGAAAGGTTTTGATGTTGATAACTAATATGTATAATGTTTTACGATCTGTAGCTCTAGTTCCTATTTTTATGTTTCAAATATGATCACGCTAATTAATGGGGGCTTGTCCGGATCTTTCAAACTTTGTAGTAGGACTAGAACATCAGATTATATCAACATGTCTGTGCTGCATAACATAATGTGACACTAGCCATCTGCCAAAACATTATATATTATTATCATTATTAGAACTTTGTGGGCTAAGGATATCACATAGCATAAAAAGGTTGCTCAACTGTGGTGATGTAGATCTGAGCTGTTCTCAGTTTGAACATTTCAGCCTGTCATTAGATTTCTAATTTACACTTTAGGTCAAGGAAAACACAATTTCCATACATCTCAAGATCAGATTTTAATGTTGCCCAAAAAGGGGGGCTTGTCTGGGATCTTTAAAGTGAAAACTACGTTCATGGGCTGCAAGGACAAAATGGTGAAAAGGATTCTAGTAGTGTGATGAAATAAAAGGGTTGAAAAGGACTAATTATCTTAAAGATAAAAATGTCTCAAACCAGAAATATAACTTTTTTCTTGATCCCGTACAAGTGTACAAGCTCAATTACTGCTCTATGTAGAAGACCACATGGTAAGACGGTTACTGCCCGCCACCTCGTTATTCCATGTACAGAGAATGTTTTTCAGCAAACAAAAAACCTACAGCCTAGAATGATTGTCCTTCACAATGCACTGGATTTTTTTTTTTTTAGCTGAAAACGAGGTGGGGTGGACCCATTTTATTTTTCTTAGGTGAGTGGGGAGGAGGAAAGCCTGGCTTAGTGTGTACATGGCCTTAAACTCAGACAATGTTTTAACAGATGAAATGTTTTAATTAACTTTAGTGTTACTGGCCTGTTATAAACAGGCAAAGAGGCCCTTAGTGGGTTTTAAAACAATTTTTTATAAAAAGATTGTTTTCCTCACCTTTTCCTTCAGTGTCTCCACTCAGACACTGGATCAAAGAGAAGATGAGGAGGATGACGAGGGAGGCCATGCCAATCCCTCTAAATGTCTCTGCAGCACCTAGAACAAGAACAGCGTTTTAAAATAGCTTCCAAACATGTTTACAAACCCAAAAATGACCCGCAAATCTCGACATCAGTGTTCTAAATGTCGGCCGAATAGCTGGTAGGATGTGTAATGTCCACAAATGGTCAGTTTTTCATGTACAGTTTGACCCCTTCAGTATCTGGTCATATGGAGACAGGAGTCTATATTTGTTGCCTTTAATCTACCGGATCCTGCCATTGCATCAGCTGGAGTCCGAGCCTCTCTGCAGCTCAGAACACATGATAACATACTGTCAACAAACTGTTCCCGTTTCAAGGCCTAAGCTCCCCTTATCACCTACAGGATTCCTCATGCCTCTGAATAAAGTGACTATTTTCAGCTCATATGAGTTAATCATTCGTGAAATGGAATAATAATAATGTCTTCATTAATCTGTGCTTAAATCAATAAGGTTGATTGATCTGTGTTTGAATTACTGAAGACATTATTATCACCGTACGTGACGGAGTGACGTCACTCCGTCACGCACTGTTTGCTTAGCGCTCTAACGCCATCTCGTGGCATCTCTTGTACATTACACTTAATCTGTTGAGTGAGGATGTCTGATGAGGAAGAGCTTAGTTTTCCCACTGTGAGGAAAAGAATCATCGACTCTGTTTGATGTGTGTAGGCTCTGCAGCTCTGGATGCCTGTGGCTACGATGAGTCAATCAAGGACCTTACGCTAGATGACCTATTGATGCTCTGTTTCTGGTCGGCAAGATGGCGCCTGTGCTTGGCTTCGCCACAGTCACCGGCAAACTTTTCTCCACTAACCTCCTCTTTTCCACCTTGCTCCTGTCTGCGATCCTCTTCAGTAGTGTCCCTGCTACCATCTCCTATGATCGCCAGACTCTTTTGTCCTTCCGTTCGTTCACAATCGCCCAAGATGCACCGAGGATTTACCATCCTGTTTGTTTACCTGAGCGGCGCGCTGGCCCGGAAGCAATCGACGATCCAGAGCTGCGCACCTCTAGCGATGTTTGTCCGGTCCCGGGAAAACGTCGGAGGAAAAGAGGTAAACGAGCAGGAATCCAGGTGAGAATAAGACTTCTCTTAAAGCGTGGTTTATCTGGTAAACATCTGCGCAATGTTCCAGCTTCTTGTCCTTTGTTTGGTGACCTGAGTGCCACTTCCGCATTCCCGCTAGGCCGCGTTGGGACGCGGTTCATCCGTCCAAGTTTTTTAAGGTCGGTTTATCCTCATTGCTCAATGGTTTCTCCTCCTGTTCCCTCCATAAGTGGTTTTTATAAACACCGTGGATCTAACCATGCTAATTTACGTCCACTAATTCCAGCTGTTTATGTAGTTTCTGATTCCTCCACCACACTCAGTATGGCTCCGTTAAATTCCTGCTCTGTTAACAATAAGACCTTCCTGCTCAATGATCTAATTCTCTCTAAAAACCTGGATTTTCTGTTTCTGACTGAAGTTTGGCAGCAAACATCTGATTATTCTGCTCTGATTGAACTTTGCCCGAGTGGTTATTCTTTTCTTAGCCAGCCCCGGGGTTCTGGTCGTGGTGGAGGCCTAGCTGTTGTTTTCAGAGACTATCTTCCATGTAGCTCTACAACCTCTGGTCACTTTGCTTCCTTTGAACTGCAGCTGATTAAAGTCGGGCGTAAAGACCCGTTCTACTGTGCTGTGGTCTATCGTCCACCTGGTCCAAACAGTTCTTTCCTTCAGGAGTTTAGTGACTTTCTATCCTCCACTGTGAAGCTGTCCAGACTGGTGATTGTTGGTGACTTTAACATCCACGTTGATGATGCCTCCGATCTCTTTGCCATGAATTTCTCCAGCCTCATGGACACCTTCGGCTTTACCCAGCATGTTTCTGGCCCCACACACACCAGGGGACACACTCTAGACCTTGTTTTTACCCTGAGTCTAAATGCTGACAGTGTTTGTCCTGAGGATGTTTATATTTCAGATCACCATTGCATTTTCTTTAACTTGTCAGTTTCTGCGTCCCCACCTCCTGCTCGCCGTATGGTTAGTTCTCGTTTTCTTAATGAGAGTACAGCTAGCAATTTTTCTGCTGCTTTTGATCCACCCTGTTCTTCTGATAACAACCCAGATTCCTTAACTTCTCAGTTCAACGAGCACTGCCTCTCCATTCTGGACAACTTCTGTCCTGTCAGAACCAGATCAGTTCCTGCAGTGAACCCTACTCCCTGGTTTAATGACAGCCTTCGCAGCCTGATGCGCCAATGCAGAAAAATTGAGTGTTTGTGGAAGAAAACCCATCTCTACGTCCATCTGCTGCACCTAAAGGATCTTCTGTCATCCTTTAACTCTGCAGTCAGAGACGCCAGGGTTTCCTATTTCTCCAACCTGGTGTCCCAGAGCAAAGGGAACCCCAAGGTGCTGTTTAACACCATCAGCAGCATCGTGTCTCCTGCCTCTCCTACAGCCTCCATCCACTCTGTTGCAGACTGTGAGAACTTTCTGTCTTTCTTTGTGGACAAAGTCAATAAGGTTAGATCTAGCACAGTGGTTCTTAACCTTGTTGGAGGCACCGAACCCCACCAGTTTCATATGCTCATTCACCGAACCCTTCTTTAGTAAAAAATAAAATATGATTATTTTTACTGGTGCACGAAATGAATTGTGCATTAATATCACCTTGTTCAAATAACAAAACCAACACAGTGCATGAACTCAAAACAACTTACCTCAGTGTGACTTCTGCTGTTGCCTTTGAGAGACCAGTTCAGATATGCGTGGCTTCACCTTGGAAAGTGCCAGTCTCGTGTCATTTTCACAGCAAAGTCTGTTCCTTTTCTTAGTTTTTATGTCCAGCATCCTCGAAAACGATTGCTCACAAAGATATGTTGTAACAAATGGTACAAAAAAATCCAGGGCTTTCTTAGCAATAACTGGATACTTTTCCATTTGTTGACACCAAAATGTTGAGAGCGTTGTTGTTCTGAAGAGTTGCTGTTGAACCTGGCTCTGCTGAAGTTCAATGATTTCGTCGAGGTGTTCATCATTGGCATCTGCTGTCTCAATAGCAAACGTGAACGGCTGTCTCACCCATGCTGGATATGATGCTCTTGTTGGGAAGTATCCATCGAGAGACTTCATAAGCCCATCTAAGTGCGTGGCAATTGTTTGCTTCAGTTCCATGGGTACAGATATGTCTCCAAGTCCACACACATCTTCGATCTTACTTACAGTCGTCCAGAAGGGGGAAGTTTGCGAAGTTGTTGTTCTCTGCTCGTCGTTTCCATAACGGTAACTTTTTTTGAAAAGCCTTCAGGTTTTCTTCTGCTTCCATTATGTTAACTCCACCACCCTGCATCTGCTGATTTAGATGATTGAGAGCTGCGAATATATCAGCCATGTATGCTAAAATGAGAATGAACTCAGAATCTTTGAAGCAATCTGCATGACAATGTTGGTGCTCTTGCAACAACTGGGCTAATTCCACACACATGGCAAAATCACGATTCAGCACCTGTCCCCGGGATAACCACCGAACATTCGAATGGTAAAGAAGTACCTCGAATTCAGAGCCCATTTCTTTACACAGCTCACTGAAGATGCGGTGCCTCAGAGCACTATTGTGCACATAGTTCACACATTCCACTACAATTTTTAATACTTCTGCCATTTTGGGCGGCAAGGTTTTTGTTGCAAACGCATGCCTGTGCAGAATGCAATGCGTAACAATGATGTGCGGTGCGTCGGCTTTTACTAGCGCGCCAAAACCAGACTTTCTTCCCAGCATCACTGGAGCTCCATCCGTACAAACTGCAGAAACCATATCCCATGAAAGTTTGTGTTGTCTCTGAAGAAGTCATCCACAAGCTTCTTCACATCAGCTGCCTTAGTTGTTGTTGTAAGGGGCTTACAAAATAAAAACTCTTCTTTTATCATGTCGTCTTTCACATAGCGTACAAGAACGGCAAGCTGGCTTAGATTGGAAACGTCGGTGGTCTTGTCGAGTTGAAGGCAGAATTTTGCCGGGCTTGAAATCAGATCCGCGACTACTTGAGCCAAGATGTCTTTACTCATGCACTCTAGTCTGTCGCTGATGGTGTCATTCGAAAGAGGAATTTGGGATAATTTACCTTCAGCCGCTGTTCCGAGTATCAGATTTGCCTTCTTTAACGCAGCTGGTTTTACGAGTGTTTCGCCAATGGTGTGCGGTTTGCCCTGCTTTGCAATCAGATAAGCAACTTCGTACGATGCTGTGAGGATCGGTTTGTTGATGGGTACAAATCCAAGAGCAGACAGAGTGGCCTTTTCGTCGAATCTGGCTCTCTTCACCTTGAATTCAGCAAGCGTTGTGTTCTTGTGTTCCCCATCTCCATGCAGCTTCAAGAAGTGTTCCTTCAGTTTTGCAGGTGCGAGACTAGAGTTGCTCAACTTGGCATTGCAAATCATGCAGATGGGACGCTGACTCCCGTCACGTTCCGTGATACATGTAAATCCATGTTTTACATATTTGTCCGACCACTTTCTTTTTTTGCCCGACATAGTTAGCATGGATTAAAATATTCCGTAAGAAATCACACGACAAACCGACAGTCACACGTTTTGGCGGTTGGAGGTGGACGTGGGGTCGGCGTCACTAACGCTAACCCAACGTCACTGACGCACACCGCTGGTCCCGACTGAGAAGGAGGTCTCACTCTGCTGCTTATCCAGCGCTCTCAAAGCGGACCTGTAGGGAGTCTCACTCAGACACATATACAGCCCATATACAGAGGTTGCACTCTGCTGCATAAACCAGCTACCTCAAAGCGGACCGGTAGGAAATCTCCGAGCAGGACGCATTCAATGACTGTGCCCACTAACTGCAGACTAGACTGAGGGGTGGACCTCTGCGGCAGAGGCTCCACCGAACCCCTGAGACCGACTCACCGAACCCCTAGGGTTCGATCGAACCCAGGTTAAGAACCACTGATCTAGCATCTCTCCTTCAGTCTTATCGCTGCCTCTCCCAACTCCAACCAGGCCCATCAT